ACAGGAAATTTGGCAACAGAAAGAGACAGTTTTTTTTTTTTTTTTTTTGAGTTGCAGAGCAGATTTGTAAAGGATGTCACCAAACAGAATGCTTAATTTACACTTTTTGAGTGCTTTTACTGAAAGAATAGGAAGGGAAAATTTGTGTTTACTTTCTATGGATTGGAGGTGTTGCAAGCTAGGATTTTCCTTGTCCAGTGATGGTGGAGCAGATGTGTCACAGCACAGCTGGCCTGTAGATGGACAGATAAATCTGGCCATAACAAAAAATCCAATTCAGCTAGCCTAGTTCACTATAGAAAAGAAGAAAACAAGTCCCTGAGTGAGCAAGGATAGGATGGGATTGAACTCAAACAGGGGAGCCCAGCCAACCCCATTCAATCCTAAATGCAGGTAAATCATTGGCCAAGGAGCTGGGTGGTGCAGGGATCCCAACAAATCAGTTTTCCAAGGGCAGGAATTTTGAAACCCCTGTAAAAGGAGTGATGAACAATAAACTGAGCTCTTTGTCCATGATCCTCAGTGATTTCTGTTGTGTGTCTGTCCCCATCCTACGACTGTAACAAAACAGAGATGGTTCCATGGAAAGAGAGATTTTAGCAGCACATGGAGATGCACATTCATGAAAAGTTCTGTAAGAAGTCAGGCAGAAGCCAGGACATTAAAATGTGTCCCCATGGTACAACCCCTGCCCACCTGTGGGGTTTTGTGGGACTGTGGAGGGGTACAGCATTGCAGGGAACCCCAACGAGGGGAGAGAATGATGCATCTGACTCCATCTTATCAGAAGGAGAATTAATTAATTATACTATATTATTCTATACTATATTACACTATATTACATTACATCTAAATTGAATCTGCCAAGCACTCAAGTGCACACCACTGCACAGAATCTCGTGACTGTCAGTGACAGTCCCAACACACACACACCATGACAGATCAAGGAAACAAAACCCCATCACTGTGGGTAAACAATCTCCACATTGCAGCCTACTTTTTCACAAACACAGGCACAGCAAATGATAAGAATTGTTTTTCCTTTCTCTGAGAAATGTGAAACCCTGAAATATTCTTGGGAAGAATTGTGCCTTCCTTGCTTTTCTCTGTGAGGAGAAATGTGGTGACAGAGGGGTGGCTGGGATATTCCTCTGTGGAGAGACATTTGTGTGCCCTTCCTAGTGTGAGAGAATTCATCCTTGGGTGTAACTTTGGTCTGCATTGGACATTAAACAGAGTGTGCATGATCAGGTGTCACAGACATCTTTTAATGAAAATCCTTTCCTTAGGATTTTTTCCTCCTGAGAAGCTGAGAGACCTCAGGAACAAAATGTAAACATTGATTATCTGCGGCTGTGGAATGCAACAGGTGCATCTGGGATTGGTCTCATGTGGTTGTTTCTAATTAATGGCCAATCACAGTCAGCTGGCTTGCACAGAGAGTCTGGGACAGCTGCCTTTGTTATCATTCTTTCTTTTCTATTCTTAGCTTAACTAGCCTTCTGGCTGAGATGAAACCCTTTCTTCTATTCTTTTAGTATAGTTTTAATGTAATATATATAATAAAATAATAAATCAGCCTTCCGAAATATGGAGTCAGATCTCCATCTCTTCCTTCAACATAAAACCCTTGTGAACACCATCACAATCATGTTCCCATCTTATGGGTTATTCACATGAAGTGAAACCTTTTTGTGATGGGAGGAATCTCTGATTGAGTCCAAGCCCTGGGTTCCTGCAGCAACACTGGCTGAGCCAGGGGAGAGCATCCTCCCCCAGAGCTGTGCCTGTGAGGCAGAACGTGCTGCAGGTTACAGCCACCACTCCTGCACTCCCCCAGCCCGGCTCCATTCCTTGCTCTCACTGAACCAGAGACAGCCCGAGCCTCCCACAGGACTCTGCAAACCCTGGTACAATGAGACGGAAAGAACGGATTATGAAATGAAAACAATAAGGGTTGAGTGTGCTTGAGATCCTCTCCACCTCCTCCCCTAAACCACAGGGATTGAAAACACAGACCTGCCTGGCAAAAAAATAAAAAGAAAGAGTGACCCATGTACGCATATCCTGGCAATTTGTGGGATTTGTCATAAGACACCCAGACCAAATTACAACATCCCTGTGTAGATCTAACCTGCATTTCATGGCAGCATTGAGCACTGTGCAGATCCACTGCAGGCAGCACAGACACACAGTAGAATTAGGGCTCACTCCTGCTCTGACACAGACACAGACACAGGTGCTGCTCTAAATGCAGATGAACTGTTAAATCAGAACATGTATGTGGAAACCCAGAGCACTGGGAATATTTCTGTGTCTGTTCTGGGGTGCCCTGACCCCCAGGGCAGCACTGACTCTGACCCTCAGCCATGGAGAAAGTTTCCCAGACTCCAAGATAGACCAGAATCCACGAAAGTGTGAAATAGATTCTAGAGAGCAGTGCAGGTGTGTCACTGGGTGAGAAATTGAGGGTTTGGGATTTTTAGTGTGTTGTGGATGGCAGCAAGATGGAGGGCACAGGGTGTTGTCCTGGGTTTCTTCTTCATGCTTCTTCTTCATGGGTTTGGGTGGCATTTTGTAATTGGGGCAGAAAAGTCTGCATTGGGGACTTTGGGCTCAGTTATTGGGTTAAAAGGGAAAATAATCCAGGTATCAGCTCTTAATTGGACAGTTTATTCTGAAAAGCCCTTGTACCAAGAGATTGTTGGCCATTTTGTGCCTTCTAATGAAAAGCTGCAGAACTCACAGCAGTGAGACTGTTTTACTGATAAGAAATAATAAACACCCGAGTGTGAACATAAACTGCTGTCTCAAGTACCTTCAATCCAGACCCAGAGGAATCCACAACTGGAACCCCCACACCTGTACACAACTCATTTACTGCCACAGAACCTATTGGCTTGACAGAATTCCAAACCAGTGATCCACAGTTCCATTAAACCCCCTTAGTCTGGTACAGTCCAGAGGAAAGCAACTCCCTCCTCTCCCTGATCCATCCCCTCTCCCGAGGGCACATTGGCTCCTCTGAAACAATTCTGTTGCTGTTTTCAGTCAGAGGGCTCAGCAGTGTCTCCAGCCCTAATCTCCTTGCACAGCAGCACGCTGTCCCCATGGAGGCACCTTCCTGCCCTGCTGTTCTCCAGGAACAATTCCACCCCCAGCTGACCATTACTGAGACATTTCTAGCTTTTGCTCTAACTTCTTTTGCATCTGTGGGCACATTCCTTGCCCTTTGTTGCACTACGATACCATGATAGAATGTGATTTCATTAAATAGTTCAATAAAGTTATCTAAGGAGTTTTTCTTTCAGGAACAGGATAGAGCAGGAGAAATAGGCTCATACAGAAGAAACTATTCCTTATTAGGAAGAATAATAAAAGTATTTAAAAGTCTTGGAGTAGCCACAGGAACTTGGATATCTCCAATTCCTGAAAGCTCAAGTGCCTCAACTCTATACCCAGGATACAGCAAAATTTAAAGCAAGACTTTAACTCAGGAAAAAGCTTTTCTTTAGAAAAACTTATTCCTAAACATGAGACAAATTTGTTTATATGAATAATCATAAAAGTAAAAGGTCTTCTGAATACTTTTGAAAATTGAATGGATTTCTAAAAATCCCTTCTTTTCACTCTTGCTGAGAATATGTTAACATTTAAAAGTCAGTGTTCTGGTTTGTCTTTCCTAGTGCACTGCATTAATTTTTTGTTCTGAAGATACATACAGAATTCCAAACATTCCATTTTGATAAGGTAAAAAAAAATTGTTTCAGTCTTTCAAAATAAGTTCCATTAAAACTGACACACTCCCATAGCAAGCTTCAGTTTCTTATAAGGAACATTTCCACAAAAAGCAAACATTCTTTTAAATAAACTTGAAGCAGAGTTATCAAGAAATAATTAATTCCAGATTTTAAGATGCTGAAAGTTTGTGGCAATACGTGGCAATATTTATTTTGCTATTTTCCTGAAGACAATCAGCCAACATTGCCTGTTGTTTCTTTGCATTGGCACCAACTGTTCTCATCCTACACTCCTTTTCATCACAAATAACACAAATTTAGCACCATAATTGATAGCTCACAAATTCCTTTGGCAAGGTCTTTTAAGAATAAGCTATCCAAGAGCTGGCACCTGGATTATTTCCCTTTTTAACCCAATAACTGATCCCACAGAGCTGCAATGGGGAATTTTCTGCCCAACTACAAAATGCCACCCAAACCCATGGAGAAGGAGGAAGAAGAAGCATGAAGAAGAAACCCAGGACAACACCTTGTGCCCTCCATCTTGCTGCCATTCACAACACACTAAAAATCCCAAAACCTCAATTTCTCACCCAGTAACCCACCTGCACTACTCTCTATAATCTATTTCACACCTTTGTGGATTCCAGTCTATCTTGAAGTCTGGGAAACTTTCTCCATGACTGAGGGTCAGAGTCAGTGCTGCCCTGGGGGAACAGACAGAGAAATATTCCCAATGCTCTGGGTTTGCACAGGGCTGCACTCCCAATGTTGCACATGAAAAGGAGAAATCCTCTCTCTGGAGGGTGGGATTGGCTCTCTGCAAGCCTGTGGGCAGAGAGAAGTGGCCTCAGGATGTCACTTGAGGACACAAGCTGAGAGACACAGACACACAGGAAAATTCAGACAGTATTTACTGCAGAATTAAATAGCCTGCCCTAAAAACTATTTCAGTATCCCTAAATGCACATTCAGTACCACACTTGCTTAGGTAAACATGGGGGCTCACCTTGGAATTAAAAAAACATCAGTTCACTGCTGGAAATAACAAGAAAAGTGTCCTTGGTGTTGCTTCTTAAGTATTTTTTAAAGACAGTTTGCAGAAGAGAAGGAACAAACACCTAGCTTTGCCTAAATTCCTTTTTCCCCCTTGCTAAATAAAAGTCTTCTGAAAGCCACCACAGGTCCTGTGACTTTAAATCTGAGCTGAGATCATAACTTTGGTCCTGACCAAACAGCGTGGGGAGGGCGGGCCTGGCTGCTCATTGAGGACCACCTTGGGCTGCTCCCATCCCTTGGCTAAAGAAAACAACTCTGACTGCTCTCCGTTTTCTTTAACTGCTCAGTTGTCATCCGAGAAAACCTCCCCTCCTCACGTTACAGCAGCTGAAGGAATATTTGGAATACCAAAGTATTTTTTCGCAGTGATTTCTTTTTATCATCGTGATTCTCCAACAACCCAAAGTTGGATCCGTCTGGTCTCAGGATTGGAAAGCGACTCTCTGAGCAGATCCAACATGTTTCTAAAAGTTCCGTTCTTCATCCTCCTCCTGGGGAGCCTGCCTTTTGTAGCCCTTGCTCAAGAAGGTAAGGGGAAAGTTTGGTTACAGTTATTCCCAGTCATTTCCTGTAATTTAACAGTTTCTGTGCTCTTATGGGCTACACAGTTACTCTGTTCTGTTTGTAAAACTTTCTTTGTAATTCTTAAGCTGCAACAGGGCACCTACTGCAGCTGTGATCTGGATAGAAGCAGTGAAAGTTTTCTATGGGCTGAGTTTGACTCCGTTAGGAAAGAATTTTCTGTGTGTGAGCAGGGGCAGGGGCAGGCAGGGCAGGCATTGCCTGCACAGCCTTGGGAATGGCTCCAGTCTCACTGGAGCACTCACAGCAGCCTCTCAAGCCATAAATTAGGGGTATAACTCTCTGAAAGTGACTTGTGAATCTGTTCATTCAGGAGTTTAACTTCTGTGCTTAAAGACATTTCAGACTTTTAAAATTTGAGGCTTATGTGGGGCTTTGCTGAGTCTAACTTAGCCATAATATAGATATTTTATATATATATATATATAGTATGATATGTATATTTTTATATTATTTTTATATTATTTTTATATTATTTTTATATATATACACATATAAGTATAATATATATCTATACATATAAATATAATATATATATATTATATATGTGGCTCAATATATATACAATGAGGGAAAATAAACCACGTGGAATTATTGCCAAAGCTTGATTTGAAAAGCATTATGTACCAAAAAGATCAAATTTGGAATTTAAGCATTTTGAATTTTATAAGGAAGACACAATATACACTTTTAAGTAAAATAGACAATAATAAAAATTTCTTTCTACAGCTCAAGGATGTGAGTCTGATTTGTTAACAGTAAATCAGAGTTATCCTGACCAGTACTTGATTCCAGGAATGTCATTTTGAAACTGAGTTTTTCTGAGTAGAGTTTGACTCATGTGGGTGAACTGGCCAAGAGGCAGCGTGGTTTGCAGCTGCCATGGCCATGGAGCACGTTCCAAGCAGCAGCTTTGTACCAGTGCTCTGAAAACAGCAACTCGAAACTCAGCCCAATGCTCTTCAAAAACACAGATCTCCTCATCAGGCTTAGATCTAGGCAGTCAAACTGCAAAAATTACCTGTTTTTGGCCTGATAACAATCAATGTCATCCTGCTGGAAAAATGGAGATATATTGACATATACTGTGTGTGGATGTTGACTTGAAACCTCTAATGGTGTTCTGTGTGTCAGAATGTAAGGCTGAAATTTGCAGTTATGCTTCAAAATTTTACAGGAAAACCAAAATCAACAGATATTAGGCAAGTCAGAAAAGTTGTTTTCTAGGCTCACCCAACAACCTTGTTCTTGAAAAGCATCTATATTAGGTGTACCAAAATTTAAAGCCATTAGAAATGAGGCAAAGCCACCACTACTTTATAGAATTACCTTGAGCAATCCAAGACACCTGAATTAAAAGGTTAAAAGGTCCTTTATCTTCAAGCTTTTGAGAAGTTTTTAAGCTTATTTTCTCTCAACTCTGAGATGAGTCCAGCAATGCTCAGGCTGAAACTCTACTACTAATAAAAAATATAAGAATATTTCCTGTTTTAAGAATAAGAATATAAGAATATTACCTCTGTTTTATTACCTGTGCAGTTTGCATTGAACTCCAGAGCTGGATCAATAATGTGATTTACAGCGTGTGGGGTTTTCTGTGTCTGTTTAGGGTTTGTGACTTTTTTCTTCACATGGAGCCAGTCACTTAGGACAACTTTCAAAGGATACAGCAGGAAAACAGACTCCAGAGAAAATAAGTCTTGAGTATTTAGTGTCTATCAGTGCTGTTTACTGATAATCATCAGCAATTACAAGTTAGAGACATGAAATGACAATGTTCACCTTCAGCAGTCTGTGGTGACAGGGAGATGGAGAGGGCTTGGTGGAGTGGCTTTATCCAGATCCATGAACCTCTGGGGAACACAGTTTTAGAGGAAAAAGGTTTCCATCTGACACCTCTTAACCTAAAAAAGGCCATAAATAACCTGCAGCTACCCTTTTCTTATGGCTGGGCACTCCAGGTTATGGACTGAGACCAAATCGAGAAAAGCAGCTTTGCTTCCAGCAGGAAGCATATTTCCAATTTCCAAAAGTATTGCTATCAGTATTATTATTGTTGTTATTATTATTATGTACATTTTGGCCCTTCTGATCTCATTCAGCATGCCAAAACTCAGGCAAATCCTCACACACAGAATCAGACAGACCAAAGCAGCCGAGATGGAAGTTGCCTTTTGATTCCAAATCTTTCCATGGTGCTGTATCATAGCAGGGAGGGAGGTTACTCTGTTGGCTGTCACATAACATGAACAAAAATTAACATGATTGTTTGACAAGATACCACACGTCACCTGGGCTGTATCAACTGTCCATGTGCCTGATCTGACCTGGAGGCAAATATTAGATTTTATTTCCTTATGCAAGGCAGGTTTATGCGAGGTCATGTTACATTTGGTTTGGACTGAAAGTAAGAACATGGGCAGGATAATTCAGATTAAAAGTGTTTATATCATAAGAAAGGAAATTGAAGTTTACAGTCAGCTGTGAAAGACTAAAAAGCTTTCTGTTTTTCAAAATCATAACAAAGAGAATTGACAAAACCACAAGAAAAGAGTGTTTCAAAACAGTACTGATTTGCCCAAACCCTGTCACTATTGCAGTGGCAAAACTACACATTAAAATCAAGCAACTCTAAAGCCTTTTGAAAATCAAACTCTGTAAATGCTGGTGGTAAAAACAAATGGAATAGTCGCATTTGACTCAAAAGGGACCCAGTTTTCTACTAAAAATGTGCTGCACAACCTTTCATCCTGCATGAAGAAAGAGGAATACTCTTACACATGTCCCATATGTGCCTCTTCCCCATATGAATCTAACTCTCCATGCCCAATACCCAAAATTATTATCACAGAAAGGAGAAAATCATCCTGCTGATCTCAGGTCTGCAAGTCTGAATTTTGCGGTGTCTTTGTGGAAGACAGCAGAGAACAAATAAAATACAATTTCTCCTCAGCTAGGCAAGGAAAAAATTACCTGATTTAAAAATTTAAAATTACCAGGGGGGTTTGCACATCTGTGTTCTGACAGTTAGTTTTTGAATCTGTAACCTCACAAACAAAGAAAAGAGTCATATTTAAGGGCTTACAAGTGGACCTTTCATTAACTCAAACTGGAAACAGAGAGGCCAGATTCTCAGCTCCGGCATTTCAGCATTTTCTACTGAATCTGTGCATTTACCTCAGATCATGGATTTGTAAATCATCTAGGGAAAAAAAACAAAAACCCAGCAAAAAAACCCCAAAGCAGCAAAGAACCTGGAGAGCATTTAGGCAGAGGATGAGGCAGGGCAGGAAGGTTTGCAGGCTGTGAGGCTCCAGCAGGACCGTGTGGGGTTTCTCCGTGTGTCACTTGAGGTGAGCCACACAAGCACCACAGAAACGCCCACTGTGGCTGGTGGCACAGGGGCTGCCTCAGTGGCACGTTTGTTTTGTTGGTTTGTTTGCTTTTTGTCTGGATGTGGTCAGGGATTACAGGATGAGCCCAAATGCTGCCAGATCCTTCCTCCCAGATCCTCTCAAAGGGCCCCTCTGATCTGTGTGTGCCCAGACCATCCCCTCCGTGGGGATTGATCCCACAGCAAAGCTCAGTGTGCAGTGCACAATTTGTTACACAGAGTTGCAGAAAAAGATGTGGGATTGGGGGTATAGGTATGATGGGATGTGCTAAAGAGAAACAAATGAGGGAAAAATAAGAGACAAATGCACTATTGATTTCCAGCTCTCCATCTCAGAAGCTTGGCCAAAACTTCTCAAAGGACATGGAAGCTGATGCTGAGCACATTCTCATATTGCTTTATGATTCCCTCATGTTTTTTTCCGTCCTTGTGCTCGTTGATTACAAATACTGCAACATCCAGCATCAGAATAATCCTTAGTGAGGGCACAATTCAGCTCCTACACCAGCACCATTTTCAGGAAATCATGTTAGGAGAGCTTGAAACACTAATAAATCTGTAACAAGGACACATTTAACTCCAAACCCACTTTAAAATGTTTTTATGACTATGAAACCCATCCAAACATTAGTCTATTGTTAGTGGAGTATAAAAGTCAGACTAAACACATTTGAAGGGAACTTGCCTTCTGCATGCAATATAAAGTGGGTAGTCAAAAATCACTGTGTGGACAGAATTAACTCCTAAAAGTTTCCAGTTCAGGGTCTGGCATGAGTATTTCAAACAAATGAGATGAGGAATCTGCAAAACATTCTGCTTGCAGATACAAAGGGTTAGCAATCTACAACAAGGCAGCTGTGAAAGGGCACACAGCTGCAGCCTCAGAGCCCATGGAAGGAAGTCATTTAGGGGAAAGATTAGTTTATTACTGTATTAGAGGTCATTTCTTAATTCCTTACATTTGCATTTACATATCCCAGTATTTGTAAGCAGATGTCTCATTTGTGCTGCAAATCTGCCCAATTTGCTGATCCTTTACACCAAGTTTTGTGGTTTTTCTTTGTTTTGGCTGCAACTCTTCCTCCTAGCCAGCCATGCAGCAAAAGACTGAAAGTTCTGCAATTCTGCCACTTTTCAGCAAGATATAAGAGACATTTACACCTTGATCACCAGTCCAACCTTGTTGCTCCATCCCTCACTGATCAGAGGAAACAATTACACTGTTATAAAACTGCAAACAGGGAAACAGGGTCACAGGGCAGCAAGTCTCACTAAAAAAGTAATTTTATCCCATATTAATGGCGTAACTCTGAGGTTAGTGTACTTAGTAGAGAAGAAAGCAGATGTTGACACAGCAACATTATTAAAAGCATGAATTTGGAATACTCATCTCTAGCTCTGCAAGGAATACTTTAAAGGAATGTCCTGTAATGGAGTTTGTCATTTCCCTCTGTGGCTGATTTCACTGTACACAGGACAAAGCTTAGGAGGTTTGCAGCTTTTCCTCTCCTGGCTTTGTTTTGTGACTCTAGCTGGGGATCATTGTACACAC